TTTTTTTTTAATTTGCGGTTTTTCCATATTCATGGGGGTCTTTCACTCCTAACCCCAGCAAATGAGAAGGGACCACTGTGTTGGGTTGTAGTCACAAAAAGGAAATTAAAGCTCCCTATACACACACACACATACACACACACCACTCCTGGATTTTTCTTCTGTTGGCTCATTTAAGACCAAGAGGATGCCAAGACTGTGGTTCTCAACCAGAATTGCATTTTGACATTGCACTTCAACTGCCATGGCTGCATTGTATGGCATCCTGAGATTAATAGTTTGGCAAGGTTGTTTATAGTTTGGGGGGCAGCTAGTGGTGGGACAGCATGCCAAAGTTCAAAAGTCATTAAATTATCAACCAATTAAAAATTATAACAGAAACCATTAAGAGACATCAAATAAAAATCCAGCCTATTATGCACAGCCTGTGTCACCTTTAAAAAATAAAATCAATTCTCGAAGGCCAGCCAAAATGGAAAAGTCTCGGGTTTGGAAAAAGAGTATGGAGGGTGCCAGTCTAAATGCTTTAGGGAAAGGAGTTTGAGAAGACTCCATCTCCCATGTTCCCACCAGATGTGAGGATGATGGGACAGAAAGAAGGGCCTCCCCAGAAAAGCTCAATGTTTGTATGGAAGAATACAGTCTTTTCCTATTCTGCATCTGTTTGCATGTACCATCTCCACCAGGCTAGCATCATCTAGACCGGTTCTCATAACTGTCTTTTCTGCCCCACCTGCCCCCATTTTCTTCTTCCTTTGTCAGAAAAAAACAACCAAAGAAACTTCTTGTGAATATACACACACACACACACACACACCCCACCTGCTTTCTCTCTCTCTCTCTCCTCCGTAGCCTGAGGCTCTTCTGATATTTCCCCAGAGAGCAGTGAGGAGAGTACCTCTGGACCAAATCTCTGGAGGTCGTTGATGCAATGATATTGAACAGAAGATGACACTTTATATTGGAAAATCCCAAAGCCAACAAGCAAACCTTATCCCTGGAGGACACTGGAAAGAAGCGGGCAAAGAGACAAAAAGAGAGAGAAAGAAAGAAATGGGCAAGGCTAAATCAATCTTGAAATGGCTTGACTGATGAACCCCATTTCTTCTTCTGATCCTTTCTATCTCTCTAAGCTTCTGTGCTTCCTTCGTTCTGCTGTTTCTTACAATGCACCTGTTAAATCGGAACTCAGGAAAGTTCGCCCTTTCAGGACTACAATGCCCAGAATCCCCCAGCCAGTATGGCCATGCTGGCTGGGGAAATTCTAGAGTTGCAGTCTCCAAGGAGAACATTCCCAATGTATTCATTGATTTACTTTATATACTGCTTTTCTCTCATATGGGACCCAAACTGGCTTACGCTGTACATGGAAGAACAAGGTAGCTGAAACAATCTGTAAGACTTTAATTTAAAATGCACTGAACAACAATCCATTTTAAAATGTTGGTGTAAAAGTCAAAAACTCCTTAAAACCTATTATGTGTTAAGAAACAGCACATCCATTGCACTACCCCATCCAGTTAAAAGCTGAAGGCCTGTTTCAATAAGAGGATTATGTGTGTGTTTGTGCCTTTGAGTCACCTGTCGACTTATGGTGGCCCCATGAATTTCATAGGATTTTCTTAGACAAGGAATACTCAGAGATGGTTTTGCCAGTCCCTTCCTCTGAAATATAGTCCACATCACCTGGTTTTTATTGGCAGTCTCCCATCCAAGCATTAACCAAAGCTGACCCTGCTCAGCTTCCAAGATCAGACAAAGTCTGGTGCCTTCAGGGAGTTTAGGCCCTCCAAGAAAGTTAGATGCTCAATATCACCAGCATCTCATCAGCCATCTTGTATTAAACACTCTTATCTCCTTATTCCTTTTCAAACTAGACTGTGAGGCACATAAAGGACATTGTTGAGTTGAACAGTTTCCCAGTTGTAGTCAGGTTCTGACGCTGGAGGACCTAAAAATGCCTAGAGAAGTGTTTTCTCTAGAAATCTGAATATTCTTCAGCATGACTTTATGGTCAACTTCCAGCAGAGTCAAGCTGGAAAACTTAGAGATTCCTCGGGAGAGAACATAGCAATTAAATCCACAAATAACCAAATCTGCAAAAGTCAAAGCCGCAAGTGTGGAGGCCCAATACATACATGTGGAAATGAAAATATGAACATGAAGCAAAATATTTTTATTGGTATACTATATTGAGAAGGGGGAGTGGATGACATCTTACATGTAGATATCAAAGGGGTCACAAGGGTAAAAAGTCTAAAAACTACTGATCTAAACTCTATGGATATTATCCAAGATGCTGAACCTATTGGGGGCAATTTCAGCACCACGGCCAACTCCGTTCAAGTTCAGCCTCCAGCTTGGAGTTGATTTACCACTCCAGTCTGCTACTGTATTGGAGGAAAGACTGTGACCAGATAACCTGTGTGGCTGCTGTTCCATCCCTATTCTAATTCTCATCTGCAATAAGTGGCATACAACAATGTCTCCATGTCAGTGGGGCAATGAATCCACTCCTGGTTTTAAGGACCTCTCCAAAATGCTGAAACTATTTGAGGGGAAGTAGAGTAGAGTAGAGTAGAGTAGAGTCAACGTAGTTTATTGGTTTGAACATTGGACTAGGACTCTAGAAACCAGGGTTCAAATCCCAGCTCAACCATGCAAACCACTGGGTGACCTTGGGCAAGTCACACTCTTTCAGCCTCGGAGGATGGCAATGTCAAACTCCCTTTGAAGAAACTTGTCAAGAAAACTCCATGATAGGTTCACCTTAGGGTCACCATAAGTCAGAAACAACTTGAAGGCACACAACAAGAGTTCAGCAACTCCAATAACAGGCTCAAAAGCTGGAGTGGATTTATTGGCCTACTGACAGGGGAGCCATCAACTGCCATTGTCACTGGTACCTTAGAGATCTCCTTTGAATTTCAGACTAGATCCCAGAGTGGATTCACCATTCCACTGTCAAGGAAGCCACCAGCTGCCAAGGAAAACAGCAATGAGCTAAGAATGAGACAGAAAAGGAAGAAACTCTTTCCCTGGCACTGGAGAGTCACGGCTTGGAGTAGGTACACATGGTAATAACTTTTTAATAATAACTTAATTGATAATTTGCCCCCCCTGCCAAGGCACTCAAGGCGCTTACACAAACAATTAAAATATGATTACAATAAATAAACAGCAATAATTAAAACATCATAAAACAGACAGCAGCCGAGCCAAGGCAAATAAGGGGGGAAGCTCACAAAACATAAACAACATTGTCAAGGAAGAGCGAGGTGGGTGGGGAAAGGATCATCCTACAAATTGATCTTTCAAATCTCTAGTTGGCATTAACATCCAAGTTCTCCTGTGACAGATTTGTTATTTTTTAAAAATTTGTCAGCCTTGCTGTTGTTCAGAAGAGAAAAGGCACAAGAAGAGAAAAGGCACAAATTTACCCAAGTTGTTCAGGCTGCAATAATGCAGCATCGACTTGAACTGGAATAAACTGCAGGCTGGAAAAGGAATAATCTGAGGTTGTGATGCTGTGTGTTGTGTTTCATCCACTCTAGGGTTGAATCTGCATTGCAGAAATAATCCAGGTTGACACTGCTTTAACTGCCGTGGCTCCATGCATATTTACGACAGACTCCAAAACAATTTTTCCAGTCTGGGCATCACCCCATCCAAAGAGTTTCTAAGGTGCTGGAGATTGGGCTGCTGGGAAATGATGTCTGAAATGTTCTTCTGGTTATGGGGTGTCTTAAGAACAGGCAGCTGGACAGATCGCTTGGGTCCTGCTGCAACTGCTTGTCCCAAAGCACCTCATGATCAGAGGAGACCCAGAAGGATTCCATGTCTGATGGTACTGAAAGCCACCAAGAGGTCCAGCAGAACCAACAGAGACACACTCCCCTGTCTAGCTCCTGGTGTAGGTCATCCACCAAGACAACCAAAGCCATTTCTGTCCCATCACCAGCCCTGGAAACAGATTGAAATGGATCTAAATAATCAATTTGATTCAGAACGCCCCGGGGCTGAGAGGCCACTACACTCTCCAGAACCTTGCCCAAAGTTAGAATGTTAGAGTCTGGCTGATAATTATCCAAAGTAATCCAATTGGGATCCAGGGGTAGCTGTTTTAGGAATGGTTTCATAAGAGTGTCCTTCAAGAAAGCTGGAACTCTGCCTTGTTTTGGCAAGGAATTAACCACTCCCTTAACCATTCATTTAATCCCGCTCTAGCTTTTTTTAATACTCCAGGAAGGACAAGGATCTAACACACATGTGTCAGCTCTCATATCTCCAAGAATCCTGTCCACATCCTTGGATTGCACAAACTGAAAAGTATCCAGAAGTATCCGTCATTCCTCTACCTTTTGCCCTTGCAAGAACATGGCAAGGAAGGTTCAGCCAAGGAAAAAAGTGATTGACTTGATATCAGCCAGTGACTTTGGGGACTGAAAAATGGGGCTGGGGGATGATAGGAGTGGCAGTCCAAGAGTCTGAGTCACAGTGTCTCTTTCACCACTCAGTCTTCAGTCTAGTGATTATTGAAGCCAATATACAATCTGGAGCTGCTTCGCTATTGTCCACTTGGAGAAGATCTGATTTCTAGAAACAGTGGCTTGGTTGGACTTATTTTTATTTTTATTTGGGAAGCGTTCATCTCCTCTCTGACCAATCTCTGGTGGGTGTTTTTTTAAAGGGCCATCTCTAAATCTCACAGAGTAAAGGCAAAGTGCCCCCTCCCAGATGCCTTTGAAAACGTAGCAACTTCAGTCAACATTTATCAACACGGAACAACAATTTGCAGCTTTACGGCTGTCTCCTTGAGTTTTCCGAGGGGACGCATATTGTTGTACCGAATGGGCTCCTGTCTATTAATGGCCTGAAACCCCTATGAGCCTTCTTTAGGTAGAGTGAAGGGAGGGGAGGGGAGAACATACAATCATCACTGTTCTGGGAACGCTCCGTTTTCAAACATTTTTCCTTTCCACCCTTCAAACAACTCTCTTGAGATCACAATCATTTCCCAAAGTCACTGCACTGTTTCAAGGGAGTCCTGGGGAAACACAAGGCACTGTCTTATACTGAATCAGACCCTAGATCCAACTAGTTCAGTGGTCTTTGCACTGACTAGCAGCCATTGTCCAGGCTTTCCTAGCTCTATCTGGAGATTATGAAGATCAGATCTGGGACCTTAGAATCATCGAAGCTTAAGAGTTGGAAGAGACTACAAGGGCCATATGGTCCAACACCTTGCCATGTAGGAAGGCACAACTGAAACGCTCCTGAAAGATGGTCATCCAACCTGTGTTTAAAGACCTCCAAAGATGGAGTGTCCACCACCTTCTGAGAAAATCTATTCCACTGTCAAACAGTTTCAACAATAAAAAAAAGGTTTTCCCAATATTAAAGTAGAATCTCTTTCCTTACCATTTGAATCCACTGGTTTGTGTTCTGTTCACTGGAGCACCAGAAAATAAGCTTGCTCCATCTTCTACATGACATCCCTCCAAATATTTAAAGATGGATACCATGTTAGTGTTCTCTTCTCCAAGGTAAACATCTCCAGCTCCCTCAGTCCTTCCACCTACAGCTTGGTTTCCAGATCTTCAATCATTTTGGTCACCTTTCTATGGACACACTTCAGTTTGTCAATATCCTCTTGAATTCTGGTGCCTAGAGATGGACAAAGTATTCCAGGTGAGGTGTGACTGAAGCAGAAGAGGTTGGCACTACTACTTCACTTGATCTAGATACTATGCTCCTGTTGATGTAGTCCAGGATTACATTGGCTTTTTTTTTTGGCTGCTGCATCACATTGTTGGCTCGTGTTGTGGTCTACTAAGACCCCTAGATCTCCAAGCTAAACATATCAAACCCCCCCCAGTCATTCCTCATAAGGCTTAGTTTCCAGACTTTTGATTATCTTTGTTTCCTTTTTCTGGACATGTTCCAATTTGTCAATATCGTTCTTGATCTCTGGTGCCCAGAACTGGACACAATATTCTACATCTCAGAATGTTCAGTGCCCTGCCAGGCTGTGAAAATAGTTTTGAAAGAGGTCAAGACTGGTCATTCTTGACTGTAAATGTGAAGCTTTTGGAAATCCTTCTTGAAATCTGGTGTCCAAAAGTGGACACAGTATTCCTGGAAAGGTCTGAACAAAGAAGAATAGAATGGCTCTACTTCTTCCCTCCATCTGGACACTATATTCTTGTTGATGGAGCCCAGATTTGGATTGGCATTTTTGGCTGTGCATCACTCTATTGACTCATGTTTAGCTCCAGGTACAGCATGGTGTAGTGGTTTGAGTGGCGGACTATGACTCTGGAGACCAGGGTTTGATTCCCTGCTTGGCCATGACACTCACTGGGTGACCTTGGGCAAGTCACATGCTCTCAGCCTCAGGAGAAGGCAATGGCAAACCTCCTCTGAAGAAATTTGGCAAGAAAACCTCATGATAGGTTCATCAAAAGTCAGAAACAACTTGAAGGTATACAACAACAACAAATATCTATATGTATGTATATGTGTGCATTTTATATATATAGAAAATGCACACATATACATATGCATGTACATATACACATACATACACATGCACACATTAAAAATGTAAGCGTACACATGAACCTAGCTATATCCTTCCTTGGATTTTAGAAAAACAGAAAGACAAAGGTGTTGGGATTTATTTCATCACAAATCCTAAAGGGAAATTATGCGGAGTAATAAAATAAAGAAGAATTATAAATGAGGAAGAGAAATGGAGGAAATATGGAATAAATTACGAGAAGAGAGGAAGGTTCCCATTTGTAAAAACCCAAGATCTGTGCTAACAAAATTACAGCCACAGCAGCAGGTCCTTGTTAAATATTGGAAAGGGGGAGAGTTTATAACGAAATATGTGCTAAATCTTAAAGAGAAAAAAATAGATGAGTCTGAAATGTAATGCTACTGGGGATGGGATCGAGGAAGGGCTAGGTTTGAATTTATAAGCCAAGCCCAAATTTTCATACTGTGGTGAATGGTGCCACCCATGACAGCTGTGGGGACACTGAATCCGCTCTGGGTTTTAGTGTGAACTTTAAAAGAGTTGTCCAGGGACCTGAATCCTATTTCTTAAAAAAGAAACAGATTCAATATGTCCTGATTGTATTAAAAAAAATCATGCTGGTCTATGCAGACTGAATTCTTTGAGTTAGGGGTGTATATAATATGAGGGAAAGAGTCTGTGTATTGGGGCATTGACATAGCATAGTGCTAAACTAAGATGGCAAGACCTGCGTTCATATCTGCACTCATTGCTAAACTCACTGAATCAACTTGAATGCATTTGGGGTAACTTGGGATGCAGTGGCTCAAGTGGTTAAGATGCTGACTCTGTTGATTTCAAGATCAGCAGGTTGGCAGTTTGAGGCCCAGGTGCTGCATGATGGGGTGAGCTCCTGTCACTAGTCCCAACGTCTGCCAGCTTAGCAGTTTGAAAGCATGCAAATGCAAGTAGATAAATAGGTACCACTTGGGTGGGAAGGTAAACAGCATTCTGTGCAGTCATGCTGGCCACAGGATCACAGAGTAGTCTCTGACAATGCTGGCTCTTCGGCTTAATAATGGAGATGAGCACTGCCCTCTGTGGTCAGACATGACTTGACAAACTTGTCAACAGGGAATAACTTTACTTTACCTTACCTTTAAGGTAACTTTGGAGGAGGAGGAAGGAGACAGAGCAAGTCACAGAGTCCAGAGTAGTTATGATCAAGACACTGTATTATGATAACTACAATACCAGAGTTCTATCATTGTAGCTATGAGTGACAATGGCACTTCACTCAAGACCTTTTTCCAGTTTGACATGTGGCCATTGATGATTGATGACTCTTTGAGCATGGTTTTCCAACCAGTTATGGATCACCTGACAGTGTTCCCATCTATTCCACATTTAATCAGTTTGCTAATCAAAACATTATGGGGGACCAAATCAAATGCATCCCTGAAATCTGGGTAAATGACATCGACAGCATTCCCACCATCTACTAAACTAGTAACTCAATAGAAAAAAAGATATATGATTAGCCTGGCCTGACTGGTCTGTAGTTTCGTGGATCCTCCTTTTTAAAGAGAGGGACAATCTTTGCCCTCTCAGGGAATACAGTACTTTGGGATGTAGTTTGGCCCTGCAGATTTAAACTTGTTTAGGTTAACTAATTGGTTACTGACTAACTTCCTATCAGTCTTGATTTGCAATCCAGATATCTGGCAAAGGTTTCTGCTGCTGCATGGAAGCACCCAGGTCTCTTTTGGGGGAAAACGGGAGCAAAATAGGCATTGAGTAGTTCTGCCTTTTCAATGTTATCTGTTAGCATTGTGTGTGTGAGTGTGATGGTTTTGGTTCCCCTTTGCTCCAGGGTGTGCTTTGGTGGAAATAAAAAAAAACAAGGAAGAGTACATGACTGTGGCAGAAGACTTTTGAGGCTTACTAATAAAGTTTACCCAGAGGGAACACATGTGTGTATAAGAGGAAGGGGGAAAGATAGAGAGAGGCAAGGAGAGATAACTGGTTTTGTTCCAGGACAATCCTTTGGAGATCCTGTTTTCGGCCTCAGGTGCAAGAGAAAGAGGGAGGAAGGAGAAAGGAGGGGAGCCCTTTTATTTAGGCTGGTCACCATCTCTGGGTGTCACCGTTGGCAGGGGGAAACTGGTCCCGAGCCCATGGCCCCAGCTGTCACTCTGAGCGATGAATTACATGCTATAAGAAGGTGTTGACAGGCGCAGCTGGCCTGCAGAGAGTGATGAAAAGAGAACAAAAATCCTGAGTTCAGGCAGACCGGCTTGTTAGGCAGAAGAAGGGGAAAGGAGGGGGAGACCACAGCAGCAGAAGTGTTCCACCTGGTGGTCATGAGAAGGATGACTGCCGTGGAATCATAGAGTAGGAAGGGACCTAAAGGACACCTAGTCCAACCCTGTTGTTTTTGTGTACTTTCATGTCAACTCTGACTTATGGTGACCCTTTCTGAGAGTTTTCTTGGAAAGATTTAGTATTCAGAGATTTGTCATTGTTGCCATCTTAGGCTGGGAGAGTGTGACTTGCCCAAGCTCCTCCAGTAGCTTCCATGGTTGAGCAGTGATTCAAACCTTGATCTCCAATAAGGAGCTCTGGTGGAACAGTAGTTAAATGCCAGTACTGCAGCCACAAGGTTGTGAGTTCAATCCCAGGCAGGGCTCCAAGGTTGACTCAGCCTTCCATCCTTTCGTAGGTTGGTAAAATGAGTACCCAACTTGTTGGGAGCAATTGGCTTATAGATTGTCAACCGCTTAGAGAGGGTTGAGTTCACTATGAAGCAGTATAGAAATGTAAATGCTAAATGCTAATCCAACACTCAAAGTACTATTCCACGCTGATTCTAAAAACAATGTTATCATGCTTTGTGTCTTCAAAGGAGCTTTGCCATTTACTTCCTCTAAGGGTGAGAAAATATGTGGTACACAACTCACCCAATGGTCCTTCATAACTGAGCAGGGATTCCAACCCAGGGCTCATTCACATTGCACAATTATCATGCTACTATTCCACGTTAACTGCTATGATTCTGGAATCCTTGGGTTTGTCATTTGGGGAAGCACTGGATTTCCCTGGATTTCTAAACCGAGTTTCCCTCCCTAAACTGAATTGATGGCCTACTAGATCCTTCAACAGATGCTGTGATTATGTTCTAAGGTGAACCTTTGTATGTACCTTTGTCTCTTATATGGATTATGTACTTGAAGAGAAATAACAATCACAGGCAATTTATCTAATTTTAAAGTTGATGATGAAGTCAAGAAATCTGAAGAAGGCTAGGACTTGGAAGGATAGCTATGGAGGAATTAGGCAAGATCACGAAATCTGATGTCGTTTGACTACATGCATCCCAGTTTTCATCTGTGAAATTTCATAGGGTTCGCTCATCATAACCTGATCTCAAAAAGATACAAGATGTCAGGATGTAAGAAAAAGGTTTCTACCATGGATGGGCATGGGAAGCAGGAGACAGGTTTGCCACCACGTTCCCCTATTGACCACACTGGGCATCTGGACACAACATAAATAGTAATATCACTTCTCTTTTCGCCTCCATTTTTGGATGATTTTCAACTGAAAACCAGGCTGATCCTGAAGTGCAAAGATATATCATTGAATACTAAAGTCATGATTGTTCACACCATTGTATTTCTGATTTCTATGTGTGGTTGTGAAAGCTTCACAATGAAGGAGACCAATAGAAAGAAAATCAACACACCTGAATTATGGTGCTGGAGGAGAGTTCTATAGACAACCAAAAAAACAAATAAATGGATTCAAGAGCAGATCAAGCCTGAAGTCTCCCTAGAAACCAAAATAACTAAACTGAGGCTATCGTACTTTGGACATATCTCAAGAAGACAAGACTCATTAGAAAAGACAATAATGCTTGGAAAGATGGAAGGCAGTGGAGGAAGATCTCATTGCAGGAGGACAGACTCCATCAAGGAAGACGCAATGGTTGCCCTCAGTTTGCAAGACCTGTGCAGGGCTGTTGATAACAGATTGACTTGAAGGTCTCTCATTCATAGGGTTGCGATAAGTTGAAATCAACTTGACAGCGAATAGCAACAACCCTGAAACCTGATAAAAGGAAGAGATTAATCTGAAGTTCTAACAATTGTGTCATGCCAGACATGTCCATCAAGATTATATTAATCTTTACGCCACATATCATATTACGATGAATTTTGTATCTTCTCCTCTTCCTTCCAATAAGAATGATGGTAGAGTTTCAGCTAGCAATCTGTACTGAATTGTTGAATTATATCCTTGAACATTCAGAGCATGCTTTATCACAAAATCTCAGTGGCAAAGTGAGAGACGATGCAACACAGACAAGTTAAGAATATCGGAGAAGCCTGTAGAAGTTACTGAAGGCCTGATTTTGCTGATCAATAATGCTAACCCAAATACTACTAAACAGCATTAAGGACACAACAACAACAACATATACAACAATCAAGTGGATTGCTTTGTTTACTTTAAAGCAATATATATTTGGCTCATGGTTCTACAGAAAGTTCACACCTTTCTATTTTCTAGACTTTGGGGTGGTTGGAATCAGACTATGAGACAATTACTTTTTGAACTGTGGGTCCCAGTGTCCCCTGAATGGCTGGAAGTTCTGGGAACTGGGACTCAAAACTTATATCCCACCAGATTCATTAAAAGTGTCAATATTCACGTTACACCCACCCCAAAAAACATACTCTTTTCCATTTGTTTTATCTACTTTTGAATATTTTTTGGAGTGGGAGGGATTATTGGTTAGGGCTACTTTACCTTTCCTAGAGGTAAC